TTCCTCTCTCTCCAGCAGAAGACGTCTAAATTAAAGGCATTTAGCAGACGCTCTTATCCACAGCGACTTACAAATGTGCATCGTTTTCCCATGTGAGACCTCTATGGTCAACAGATGGCAAACATGCCGGCACGAATGGTTTACTGGTAGTAGGGAAACAGTGGCTGTAAAAAGGCAAAATCTGTGTGAGAGTGTGTATGTCATGAATGGGTTTACTATTGTGAAAATAATAATTCTTGAATGCATGACCATATATGAATGCAAAGAGGGTGTTCAAATGACTCGTACTGTATTCATTGGTTTTCTACCATGAAAAGGCAGCTGTTCGATTAAATTATTTTACTTTATTATACACAAATGTATACATGTTTCAATAAACATTTATAGTTTGTTCACTTTACATGTACATGTTAGTTTGTTCACTTTACATGTACATATTAAATAAAAAATGAAATTCGACTAATTATAACTATAACAAATGTGTGTTTATGTGAGAATTTTTAATTTGCTGGCAACTTTTTGCAGACTATCAAGCTAAGATCACTGCAAATAGGATTAGCAAATCTCATACAAAATGTTTTCACACTTCTGTCCACAGATTTTACACTCCTCCGTATTGAGAGAATGAGACCAGGAATAGGTTTGGACTAGAGGTCTACACGGAGGACCCGAGACCCGAGACCCGAGACCCGAGGACCCGGGACCCGACCCGGGATCCGTACGGGTTCGGGGCTATATTTTAAATGGTCAGCCAGGTGGTTAATGCACACGCACGGTGATAATGGATACCTTCATGAGTGATGTGAGTTAGGCCCTATTATTGATTCTTTTTTTAAATAATATTATGAATGAACCGTCTTGTTGTTATATCTAAAATTTTTGCTCAGACTTGGCTCAGAGAGCACAGAGATGATAGCAAATAAGTAAAGCTAACGTCAGCAGCCATGGCACTGGACGAGCAATATTTATTATAATCCAAATGGGCAAACAGTCTAAATTATTATGCAAGTTTACTCGAGAAATGCAAAACTGCAAAGTCGCAATTGTCATCCGTCACCGTGACAGCAAGTGGACTTTTGAAACTGGAATAATTGAGTGGATTACGCATTTCAATTGGCAAGAGAGGAATAACACGGATGGAACTTTCTTGGCAAGGAGGATTGTGTGCATCACAGTCAGGTACAAGGGAGAAGGCTTCTTACATTAGGTAAGACAAAAAGTTTAATTTTCGCAACTTGTTTATCAACTTGTTAATAGCAATTTGCTGTGGAATATGTGCCGATCGGGTCCAGTCGGGTTTGTGTCTTCCCGGCCGGGTTCAGGTCCATCTTTCAAATAATTGACGGTCCGCGTCGGTTCCGGGTAGTACATTTTTGACATTTCTCGGTTTTGCACGGGCCCGGGTCCAACTTTCCGAATTTTTGGACCCGTGTAGACCTCTAGTTTGGACACATCATGGTCTTTTGGATCATAAGAAACATTCATTCAGGTGTGATCAAACGTTTAACTGGTGATGTACGTATGATATGAAATTGATGGAGACATTGCATTTCAAGCTGTGAATTTTGACAAAGATTATTTGACAAAGACACAAATATGTAACTCACATAGCTGCAAACCACAAATCATAATTCCTCTTGCTTTGTTCTGGTTTGAAACAACCACTTTTCACAATCCAATCACTTTCTGATGGATAAAATCAAGCCCTACCCACTTTTACCTGTTTCACTGAGAAATATGTCACACTACAGATAAAGAAGAATGAAAATCATGCTTTATGGTGACTTTGAGATTATGAGGGCTATGAAGTGAGGGTGTGGCAAGGCCTGTTATGATATTTGGATGAATGTGTCACATGGACAGAATACATGGCGAGAAGCAGATGGCATGTCTATAATTTTACTTCTTCTGACTGAAGACACATCAGATGACTTTAAAAGTGAGAAACGCCAAAATTTACAGTGGACAGATGTTCCCTGCTCTGATGTGTGGAGATGCAAGACGTTTCAATCGAGAGTAAAACGAACAGTTCACTCAAAAAAATCCCTGTCATCATGTACTCACCCTCATGTACATCCAAACATGTATGACTTTTTTTCTCCTGTGAAAAAGATATTTTGAAGAATGTCTCAGTTTTCTTTTTTGTCCATACAATAAATGTCAATGTGGTCCATGTTGTTTTGGACCCCACTGGCTTTCATTGTATATATACAAACAGACTGGAAAAACTCTTCAACATATCTTCTTTTGTGCTGCAAATTATAGAAAGTAAGTCATACAGTACATGATTCATTTTAATTTTTCACGTGAACTATCCCTTTAAAACTCACAATCTGAAGTTCACATACTTAGCCCAAGAATGAAAACAAGGACTTAATAATGGTAATCATGAGGTAGCATTTTAGTTGGAATTTAATGAATCAATCAAAAATGAATTTTGATATTAATTTGACACCGTTAGATTATTTGGTTTGTTAAGACTCGGAGTTAAAGTGATTGGTTAGCAGACACCATCACAGAGTTTGCCATTTCAGAGGTGGCATGTTTGAAGGGCAACGGCACTGACATTTCCCTTGTTGCCGGAAACTGTCTAACAAGGTATTCCATGGTGTCACCAGCCGCTCAGTTCAGAAGTGTAAGAGACAGACGTTTACAGCTGAAAATAGCTTACTCATTATCAGTGCAGAAGAAATGAGTGGAGAGAGATTTCCATAATCAGCCCAAAATAAAACAGCGACATTTTGGGTCATCCTCACCTATTACTCTTCCCAAAGGTGAAGGCAGACATGATAGAGGTTTAAAACAATTAAAAAGCATATTTACGTTCCAAGGACTAAACGTTTAGCGCTCAAATCTAAAAAGAGACCAAAGACGTAATGTGCCCTGTATAATGTTCCAAATGCAAAGATTAATTCCACACCAGTACATGCTAATCAAAGGCAACTCCCAATCACTCATTACGTAAGTTTCGAAACTGCCTATAAAATACGGCAGCTTAATTCCCTTTACTCTACAGTTGTGCTCTAGATTTAGTTCATTTGGCAGCAGAGGCTTGTTTCCATCAGCGCTACACTGCTATAATGGGGCGAGCGTGTATGTGTGTGTCCATGTGTGTCATAAAGGGTAAAGGCAGGGGGTGAGGGTTTAGAGAAATGCCCTTAGTTATATTGCCAATTACAGAGCCCCAGGAGTCCCTGTGGACCACCAACATGGGCCACAATAAAACTAGTGGACAGATGGAGATAGCCAGGGAAATATTCCCCATTCACATAAAAAAAAAAAAGGCATCCAGACCCCCATTAAACTACAAGGTCACTTGTTTGATACAACTATGTGATAAGATACAACTTTTTTTGTTTGTTTACTCTGTTTCATTATATACTCCCAATATTCTATACTGCATAGTCAGAAGTTTTTGAATTTGTAGGAAAAAGCAGGAAATAATAAAAAGCATCTATAATTAACTATCATCTTTCAGAAGGTTCACAAGAACAGCATTTTTTTTAAAGGGATTTTTTTTTGCAAAAGTGTAGAAGTGTTTACTGTAATATATATATATATATATATATATATGATGGTGTATTAATCAAAATGATCTTCTACATAATTTATACTACACAACACGTTTTTTAATATGTGTTGAGACAATAGTGCAATATATATATTTTTTTTATATAAACATTCAGATAGCACATATAAGTTTGTGTTTGGATGTCCACATTTTTTTATATATATTGTATGAGCAGTATAAATAAAAAAGGAAACACTCTAATGACCTCATTGTTCATTTATGAACTAAAGACCCCTTGGTGACAAACATTGTCTGAAAATGAATCCCTTTGTCTTTCAGAAAAGCAGGTTAATTACCAAACCAGCTTCCATTACACGAGTGCTGAATTATTTACATTTTGGACACATCCAGCCAAATAGAAGCTCTCGCCATGGATAAACTGTTGGAAAAGAGCTGCTGGGCTTCAGTGTGGCATACATATTGATTTTTAATAATTTGAAAAGAACATTGTGCAGCTCAGCAAAATAAAACACATCATTCTGAAGTAATTCACAGTTGTCATGGGTGATCTGAGGAACAGTTTTTTTTTTTAATATTGTAGCTTTTGAGTGACAAACTTCTTATTGGCACTGACACAAAGATTAATGTAGAAGTGAAGCAGTGCAATTCAAAACAGAGCTGTTTGAGAGACATCATTATTCTCGGATTGATTATTTACAAGGACATGCAACAGAAAGAAAAAGAAACCACCCACAAGGTATCCACCCACAGAGGTGTTGCATTGTATGAAATGCACAGAATGCTAACACCCTGCCAAGACCCTAAATCTCTCCAGTTATAATCAATGCAGCACTGACGCATACACTGGAAGCATATGTTGTGTCGCGTCGAGATGTGTCTATTTTTGAAACCCTGCAGAGCTACTCCTACCACATAATTATCCATGTCTGTATGAAATAAAATGAATGCACTTATATCACTTCACCTTTATTTTTTCTTTTGCTATGAGTTTTATTTGTAATGTATTTAAAACCAATGCCTTTGGTCTATTAATTAATTGTAATATATAAATAAATACACTACTGTTCTAAAGTTTGGAGTCTGGGATTTTTTAAATGTTGGAATTTTTTTTAATGGATTCTTCGATGATTAGAATGTTCACAAGAACCGCATTTATTTGTAATATAATTTTTCTGTAACTGTAAAAGTTTGGTCAATGTAATACATGTATGTTGAATAATAATTAAATAATTATAAATATAATAAATATATAAGATACATAAATATTTGAACCATTCATTGATTTTATTGCTGAAGTCATCAGCCTCGCAGCTGATTACTGGTCAAGCCCAGTGTGAACAGGGCATCAGAAACACATCTCTACCGTGTACTCGGGCTTGTTTTTTTGTTTTGTTTTTTTTGTGTTGTTGACCTTTAGTATTGAAATTTGTAGATGTGGCCAATCAAGTTAGAAGAAGCTCTGACTTACAATGTGGAGCATGAGGTAGTCTCCCAGGCCGGGGGCACTGTCGATGCGGATCAGGAGGCCATCCTTGAGCGAGGTGCTAAAGCCCACTGTCAGCCTGTCCGTACGGGTGCTCGGGCGCTCGTTGGCCGGCCAGTTAAAGGTTATGAGGCCTCCACCTTTTCCAAAGATATACGTTGTTCCAGCTGGAAAAGATGAGAATGCAAAGATCAGCATGTATTACTGAGGGCTTGACTCGAAACGTATTTGCAAGACACAAATTATTTTCATGAAACTGTGTGCAGAAGAACCTTTTAATTTGTTAAAAAAAGAAAAAAAAGAAAGTTTGAGCCTAATATCGTGACATTTGGAAGTAGAAAGAATGAAATAGTATTTTCTTCTAAATAATTCTTATTTACAACTTCTTACAAAAAATCGTTTTAACAGTGTATTTAATGACATAAAATCCACTGAAATGTCATTCCAAATGCATTTATAAATAGCAGCAGGACGAAAACCAGAATAAAACCACACATGGTCACATCCACAAATGGTAATAGTACAAGAACCAATGACGTGCCACTAAACTAGGCCAAAGACTTTGAGAAAAGTCCTGACATTTTTAAGTTGTCAGCGGCTGCTCTTACCAGAGTTCTCGTAGCACTAGCGATCGGATCTTAAGCATGAATAATGCCCACACCTGGGTCAGAAAAGTCATAATTCTTCAGGCTCATATTCTCAGCAGAGCCTGCTGGAAAATGCTGTGACCTATCAAAGTTAAATATAACTCTTTCCAGGGAATAACAGCAGCAGCCTTTGATGAATGAATTCTCCTATTATAATGCATTATACGAGGGAAAAGGTAAACGCAAAAGGCTTCACCTGGAATAGAGGTAGGGCAATAATTCTTTCCGATTTGACTGGCCGCATACTGAAACTCGGAGAACGGTGTTGCGGTAAACAAAAGCATTGTTGGGTAAACTGCACTTTCATGGGACTATTTGTTTTGGACAACAGTTGCAACGGGGGGATTGTGGTGCAAAGCCATTCTGTTGTTTTTTTCCCCTGCTTTCAACACTCTACCAACAAATGGCTGCATGTGCGTTCGGAAAGGGGACAGCTGACAGAACTGCCCTCCACTCAAGGGGCCTGTCAAGTAGAACATCTGGCCCTGGAGCGGATCATGCACTCACACAATATATCGCCCCCTCCATCTCAGATTTGCTGCCACTTGCAGTCCCTTTACGGCTCTCATTCTCAATTTGAGTCGTTGACTTCAGCGATTTTTTCCCACTACAGCTTGGCAAGTCGTCGGGGCAGCAGCATGTAATGTATATGCAAGATATGGCCAAATGCATAAAGAAGTTATGATTTTGCCGTTACAGGCGACGCATCCGTCATTAACTTCTGACAGATCGCACAACGGAAAAGTCAGAGCTGGAGATGCGATAGCGCCATAGGTGCAATCTTTTGCTCACGGACAAGATGGAACTGAACCTCATTTGCACTTATATGTGTCTGAGTTTGAATGAAAATTATTCAGAGGTAATGCATTTAATATCATAAGCAGAGGCACGAATTCTGTTGGTATTGCGTTTTTACTCTGAAAGCACTTAAAGGTTGTTAAAATTTTTTAATGATTTTGGAGGTGTTCTAGACTTGCGCTGTTATGTCAGACATGTAATGACTGTGAGGCTTTTAAAACAGTTAATAAGAAACCTAAGTGTGCCGTCCTTTCTACAGTTTGATAAGCTCGCCGATATTTTCCGTGATGTATGTCAGATTAAGATGTAAAAGAGAAATGCAGCGGAACATTTTCATAAAGAGGAAGTGGTGTCAACAGTTTATTCAAAAGCAGTGCCTGCCTGCAGAATGTTCTTTAATAAATTAGCTGCCAGCATCAAACAACCCTGCTAATGTGAATCTTAACCTGATAAGCATTCAAACGAGGACAGAACCCCACCAACAGAAAAAAGAAGAACAAAGGACTTATTGAGACGCATACAAGGTATTTTTCAAAGCCTCTGGATTTTATTTTAGGGTTTCGGCACTAATGGTTTCCTCGGTTAAAATTTTCCATTAAGTAAAAGAGTAGTATCTCTTCAAATGGAGGGTGTTCTACCTTTAATGGATATCCTTCCAGTGACCTAGAATACATAGACTGAATTATCAATAAACGGTCAATTATTTCGCAGAGCAGAATGGAAAACATCCGGACCTTTCCCCACATTTTCGTACAGTGCAATGTAATATGTGTATTTATGTCTGTATAGCTGATGTGAATATGTTATTGAAACCTTTTAAGGTACCAAAAACACAACACATGTCTGGGAATACAGAATATAAAACAATGTTTTGCAACTTAGTAACTGCATATCAAACAACACTGTAGGTCCCTACCCCAAAGAAGTACACATTAAATATTAAATACACTTCATATGTCACATTTTGAAATCCTAACTCAAATAAATACAATGCTCTACCTAAGTTCAAAATCCATATAATTAGGATTAATGATCGATTCCAAAATTAAGACTGAGAGGAATACCCATAACACCTCATGCTTGAATAATGCAATTCAGGGTCATGTCATTTTTTTTTGTATTTATTATTTTAGTATTACTTATTTGTACAAATATTACACAAAAGTATATAATATTCAATTTTAATATAATAAAATACAAATGTAAAATAAATATAATTTATAATTTAACATTCAGCTAATTTAATTACTACGTGAAAAATACACTATACATCTGTGCATGTAAAGCGAATATCAGTCGTGGGATTCATTCATTCAGGCAGTTCATTCAAAAAAGATGAATCATTTAGAAATTAAACAAATGGCTGTCTGAGTGAATTACTGAATCATTCATTCAACCGACTCGTTGATTCATTCAGGAACAAAATAAGCGAAGTAACTATCTTTATGAATGAGTCATCAACTCATTAATTTAACCGATTGGTTCAAAAATTCTTCCTTTCCTTCTTTATTTACTTATGTATTTATTTATTCATTCATTCATTCATTCTAAAATTACTTTAACTCTACTTGCATCCTTTTTTTGAGAAGACCACATTAAGTTAAATTGACGACACCATTAGAGACACCAGTTCTTAATAAATTTGGTTTTAAAGTGTGTAACCCAAAAAAAAAAAAACACTCTAATCTAATCTCAGCTTTGATACTCTTATCACCACAAAGGACAATCACCAACAAGGGCACATCCCTTTGAGACATGCTGGTTACAGCGATAAGGCGCACACATGATGAAGAGTTCATGCAGTGTGTTACGTAGTGAAGAGCACAGCCTTCATCCGCTGCATTAAAACTGCAACAAGAAGACTGTTACTAGACAGTGACAAGACAGACAAAAAATGGTGCTTCTTCCATGTGTCAGCATGCAAGGTGGAAGTTCAAAGACCTGTCGCACTATCATGCATACGATCATAATGTAAGCGAAAATGAAATGCCTGCGCTCAATACGTGATTCATCCGCACCTGCCCTATTGATATTCCGGAAGTGTGAAATGGAAATAGCGCTGCTGAGCTTCGTTCCTCCAAATTTGACTGTAAGATGAGAATGCTCAAAAGCTCAATTTGATCACGTACATCCCAGGTCCTTCTTTTCAGCCCGACACCATGCACGTGCAAAAATTGCTTGCCTGTACACACAGAGATGTAATATCTGAAATAGAGTATTTTAAGCAGTCAGGCACTGTGCTAGAATGATCCCAAGAGTCAACAATATAGAGCCGCTCTCGCGGCGAGTGTCGGGAGGTTTAAAGTCTATCAGCTCAGCAATTGGTTCTGAGCTTCTTAGATAAGGAGGCGATTAGAAAAGCGAGCAGGTAGAAGTCCTGTCTGCTCGAAACTTGAATGTGATTCGTTGTGAAGTTCTAGACTCACATTTAGCAGATTTCTGATTTGATTATAATGACAAAGGCAGCGAGACCAGACATACGTCACACACTCAGCCGATTCAGTGACTTGTGAGTTTTCGCTTTGGATTGGGTTTTTAATTTATCTAGCAAATGAGGAGTTATGCTCACAGCGTGAAACCCACAGAAGATATGCGAGTTGAATAAACCCATTTCTGCCAGTGGAGCACTGCATTGAATAACATTCATATTCTTTCTTTTTCAAGTGCAAGTATGATACGACTGGCCTTGTGGCTTGTTCGTGACTGATTCTGTAAACGCTCCAGAGATTGAAGAGGGAGACAGATGGGCAAACTTAACTGCAGAGTACAATCAAAGATCAAAATGCAGAGAGGGAATACACTAAACTGGAAACGAGATGGCATGTTGATAGATCTCTTTTCAGCCCCCCTACTCAAACCCCCCATCATTTTCCCAACCACTGCACCAAAACTTATTCCGAGCATGTTTACCTACTCGAGAGAAGTCTTTTTTGTTCAATCATGGAGAGGGGTTGCTCAGGCCGTACTGCTTGGCAGTCTTGTCTTTCAAGAGAGCGAAATTCAATAGAGGTAATCATTACTGTGAGGACCAGTGCTCTGGACTGCCAACCAAAAACGTCAGAATAAAAAGATAAAAGTCTCATCAACACAAAAAGAACAAATAAAAATGCAAATTATGACTATCATGGAAGGAAACATAAACGAGAAAGCAATTAGAAAAAGAACCGTCTTTCTCAATAACTGTCTAGGTTTCCTCCTACTGTAAGAGTGTAGGAGGGTTAACAAAATGCTTATACACAAAATCTCATTACCTTTATCGGTATAAAGGATGTTCATAATTTTCCTATCCTCAAATTTCAGGCAGTTTTTATGTGGTTGCTGATGTGTGTAATTTTGGCACTACTAGCATTACTAAACAGGAATTTTTATTGGTCGAACATAGAGAAAGCCCCACATCAAAACACAGTCGATTGCAAAACATATATTCAGTTTTCATTTAAATTTGTGTAATTGCTTTTGTCTTTTTTATTAGTTATTTTACATTTATTGATTTTTATTTCAATTTAAGTTCAGTTTATTGATATTTATTTCAGTTTAAGTTTTAGTAATTTTAGTACTTCAACTTATTTTATTGTTTGTTAGTTTCAAAAGCAAAATTTTTTCATTTGAGTTTAAAATTTTCATCAATATTTATATTTTATTTTATTTCAGCTATATTTTAGTTAACGTTTAGTTTAGTTAATGTTTTAGTTTCGTTTCAGTTAACAAAAACAACACTGAAT